AAGCCATGGTATAGTTCGCACACTGCTTTGTGGCTTGCTAAAGCTACGAACAAGCATAGTCAAAAGGAGATAGTGCCCTCTGCTGTTTAATAATAGTATTATGATTCATTTTGAATCTTACCAAATCCAATTTGAATCTTCACATATTTGTCTAGGTTGCGGTGTGATATTTTTTCCTAGATAGGATGGACCTGAATAAGCATATCTTTACTGAATGCTATGTACACTCAGTCCTACCTTGTTCACTTCCGGGGTCAGAATCTCAATCTTCCTCAGTCTCTGGAAGGCATCGTAGTCAGACTCTCCAAACAGTCGGATCGGTTCCCCTCGTTCTCTAAGCCGCCGAATTACCTACACAAACACAGCGGTGCGAAAGACACGTTTAACTTGTAGTCAAGAAAGAAAAACTACTGTGAGGGAAGTGTTAATATTTTATCTAGACTCACTTCCTGTCGCGACAGTGTCATTGGCAGCTTCTCTTCTGTTAGTTCCAGTTCTAACACTGGATTAGCTGAGGTGGATGGCTCATCTTCTTCCTTTTTATCAATCTTCAGGGAAACGTGGGGAGATAAGAAATATATTCAAGTTATTGGAGGGATGTGAAGGTAATATGAAAGTCCAGAATGTAAAGAGCATCTGCAATGTCTTCATGAGATGACACCTCGGGATCAAAGAAGACGTGTGTCACTATAATAAACTGGATTGCACACATTCACATCCCTATCTTACCTGCAGCTCTTCAATAGACAAATAAGGATAACTATCCAAATAAATCAAGCATACTGAATATTACATTAATCTCATAACTTTCATTTAGTGGAATTTGAATGGTGGTTCCATCACCTAAAGCCTAATCACAGGCAAAACATTGTCTTTGCAACAAAAGGAATCAGATCATGCTTTTATTGGCACATGCATCCCGGTACTCTTAGATTGTGAGTTAAGGAGCACAATCTAAAAGAACAGACAGAAACGGATTACAAAAAATGCTTCCAAACAAACAATGGCTCTTGCTCAAATAAACAAAGTATACTGCATGTGTGCAAAGAGCATAGCTCGATAGGTTTTCAATTGCACAAAGTAGAACATAAATGCAGTTTTCTATAGAGCAACTGTTTCAAGGCAATGCAAACTACTGACACAAAACCAAGGAAAACTTATAGTTGGTCTAAATACAAAAATCTGCTAAAAAGTGCAGCTTGAAAACAGAATTATTATTTTTTAATTTCAGTTCAGTATCCCATGCTGAAATCCACACCATGTCTGTGTCCCACTCTGGCTTTGTGGATTCCTTTCCTTGTTCCCTTTCTTTCTGACAAGTAAATTGTCGCTGAGTTTGTAAATAGTTTGTAAACACATAATTGGTCCAGCGTTTAGACCAGTTCTCATAGTGGTTGCTGTACATATACATAATTGTTAAAAGCATAAATATCAACAGTAGTGGAGTACTGGAAGCACCAGGTGGTTCAGCAAAGTCCTATAATGCAGCTGATGTAGAATACATTTATATTTACAAATCATTTGTAAATCGTAAATGTATGTAATTGGCTAGACACTGACAGCATTTTTTTTAAAGGTATGAAATCAAAGAAAAATCCACATCTTTCCAAATTACGTGGAATAGCACAATAAGGAGAGGAGAGCTGGTGGCCAATCTCATATCAAATTAGTATAAGTTTACTGAATTGACGGATGACGAATGTATCTCATTATCCTGCACCAAAAATACCCAGCCCTCATCGAGCTCACAACCCACACTGGAAAGCAAATACATCTCCACCATGTCGTTTATGCTTTTAGCCTCACTGGCTTCAGAGAGTGAAATTTCAGAAAGGGTGCCAAGGAAGTTGAAGCCTTTGGGACACAGTGTGTTTTGTCCTTTTATCATGCATCCTGTCAGCTACTTTCACTGTGCAATCCCATACCTGGCTCTCAGAAGTCTCTTTCTGAACCTACAGATGCAGGCAGCAGAGGCAGGTTGGGGAAAAACAGCACAGTAAACACAGATACAAACACTAATGTACAGCTGAGCATCAAAGCCTACCTTCATTTTGTTTCCTGGCAAAACGTTAAATTACAATATTAATGTATCAAAGTAAACATGAGATAAAACTGAACTGAAGAAAGGCAGTGATTTCGATGTGTTTGTGTGAGAGAGAGATCTTGACATTAACCTTATATCCACATCTTCTGAAGTAATCTTCTTGCTCCTTGCGCGCAAGATCGGACCTTTTGAAGTATTTTTTGGTGTCCTGGATAGAAAAATAAATGACATGTTTTACATATTAAATCAAATAGAGCACAATAAAAAGAGTGGCATGACATGGTAACGCTAAATCAACAGAGATCCCGTAGTGAACATTCCTTATCTTTTACTATGACAACGTAGTGAGTACATCTTTAACACGTATAGTGAGAAAAAGTATTCAACAGAACTTCCTTTCCTCTGACTTCACATAACAACATACTGTGCTGCATGTAAGCATCTAGTCATTTCAACTCTTTTCAACAAGAACAGTATCTCAAAACTCAGTTTGAAAGTTCAAGTTTTACTGAATATGAGCATGAATTGATCAGGTGTCATAAACCGACAGTGAAACCATTAAAGAAAGTCTACAAAGTATATGTTAGAGGCAGCAATCAAAGGAAGGACGCGAGTAAAAGAGTGACACGATATATTTAAGTTTGCTGAATGTTGACATATCTACACTGAATAATGAAACACACACTACCACACGAGGCTGTCGCTGATAGGCATCACCTATCCATCCCCTTATTCCAATCTTTCCATCACACTGGACATATTAGTGGTAGTTTACTGACAGGTTGTTCTTCTTTGGGGTTGAATACAAGTGTTTTTGCAGCTGGGGTCGAGCACAGTTGATTTAACATTAGCATTAAAGAAAAAGATATAATAATAATACTTATTACAGTCGATTTTTGCACAACTTGATATAGTCTTTGCACTACTAGTACTGTATAGTTTCACATACATATATCTATATAATTTCCTACATGCACATTACTAGTATTAGACCTGTAAAGTATATTCACAGCCCTGTTTATAGCCTATTTCTTTCCACTTATATGTACTGCTGTATATATTTTTTGTCCTGTGCAATTATTTGTTTTTATACCATGCCAAAACCTCCTGCTGTAACCTGTATAAAGTGTACATACAACTCCTATTATCTTATTCTGTTTTCATTTATATCTTGTATTCTTCTTATCTGTCGTGTAGTCTCTGGAGCTGCTGTAGCGAGTGAATCCCCCCAGTGTGGGATTAATAAAGCTAATCTTTAATTAACAATAAAGTTTGTCTTATATCATTAAGTGAATATCAGAACTTCTGTCCACACGACGCTGATCTAACCTTGACGCTACGTTACGTATTTTATTGTAATTTAACTGTTTTTGTTCACTTTAACATAGGCCTGTTATATATCACACATGCTATGTCTAGGACACTATCGATACTGTACGTGGAGTTCAATAATGTATCAACAAATCGATGATTGTGGAAAGACGGTGTGCTAACGCTGGCTAGCAACAGGGCTAAGTTAACCAAGCACACAAAAACAAGCAACATCATCATCTACTCACGTCCACAAGCTGCTTTTCTTCGAGAACTTTCCTTTTCCTTGCGATCTCAGCTTTCAGTATATCCATTTCAGTGAAGTAATTGTGGTCGTTATTCGTTTATTTCAACAAATAACTACACATACGCAGTGGGACAACGCTACCAGCAACACGCATACACCGGAAGTTAATATAACGTTACATATCCGAGCACAGACCTCCAGTATAAGAGTCCTCAGTATTGTGACACTATCGTTGTGTTGGTTGTTTTTCAAAATAAAAATTGGGAAAAAATAATTTTGTTTAACTGAACATTTGTCTTACTTTCTTTTTAGTTTTTAGAGATCAGCATAGATAACAACATCAAAGCTTAAAATGTTAATCAGAATCAGAAATACTTTATTGATCCCCAGGGGGAAATTTGTTTTTTAAGTAGCCTACTCTCCTCTGGGCATAATTAAACAACAAAAATATTGCTTTATGTGTTGGTCTGTGTATATATGTGTATTAGGCTAGGTAGTTATTGGAATGGAATTATATTTTAGGCTTCAGTGAATAAAAAGATTACACAAACCAGGTTTCAAATTAAACATAAAGGGGTGACGGCAACCATAGGCTTCTCAAAAACATTCATAAACTCTGACTGCTATAATGTATGGCTATGTGGAGAAAGTGAAAATGTTTGTCCAAAGTCAAATAGCATATTTCTGTGTTGATCTACAATCTTTCTCAGTTCTAGCCTACAGTGTATGTCCATTTATTCCAAAATGAGACAATGGGATTTTTCAAGATGATAATTCGAATTCAGTTTTAATAAAAATCATAAAAATTTGTTTAATAGGCTCAATGCTTTTCTCTGTCAGTGTCACTTTTTAACATTTGGACAAAAAATAAAATCATTTTAAACAAACAGCCTAGTTTTATTAAAATCAATATGGTTCAATTGGCATATTTAGCTAGTTTTACAAAAGCACTGTTTTAATAGCCAACCTACATACTATACACTTATTTAAAAGTTTGTTCTGACCTTTTCATGTTGCTATATTTTGCTGCATTTTCTTAAATAAAAATGACTAAATTAGATTATAATCAGACAGCTGATGCTTCTTTTAATGCAATAATTAGCTATGTGCAATCAGGCTTTAAGTGTGACAGGTGACCATTCACAATGGCACAAAATACCCTGACTGAGGGTCAGTCTATTCTACCAAGAACAGGGATTCTGAAACGATGGAAAAAGTGTCACCAACTGAACTGACCTGCACTTGTCATAAGCGACTCAATACTACCTCCTATTTTTCTGCCAGTGACTCAGAATTTATACAGTTGCCTGAAGCGAGGTCATGACTGGAGGGAGGGAAAATTCATCCTTTCGTGCACTACACCAGCCTCAGATAGATATGGATATCCACTACATGTCTAAGGAAATATACATACAATCTGAGTCCTGCCTGCCTATTAGAAATAATATATTTATTCTAATAAATGTAACATTAAAACTGAACAACCCATTCACCAATGAGTTTCAGTCACCTGCTACTTGCTCCAGTCATACATTAGAGATAGTCATTTAGTTTTGTTTTCTAATCTAGAAAATAAGTCCCTCGGATATGAATAATATCATTAATAGCAGTCTTCATATGATACTTATCCATGAGAAACCAGAACAAAGTTTATGTTTGCAGTCTGGTCTCAAATCCCAGTCCATTGTCTGGACGCTAGTGGCAAATGTCTGACTCGACCTTTTAGATGAGAACATACCATCAGGTGGCGCAAAGGGATATGTGACGAATTTTTAATATTAAAGTCATTAATTTATTTACATGGCGGGAGGGAAGAACCAGCATCATGCTGGGAACGGGGATGCCATACAATAGCCGTTATAGCATTTATCAAGTCAATTTAAGCTTAACACGGTGAAAATCTGCCGATGACAGGAATCTGTAGCGCAGTCTGAGGAGAAATTTAACTGATTAATAAGGCAGACGGACAGTGATTCCGCTGAGTGTATCCTAGTCACTGATTTCGTCTTTCTGAGGAGCGATTTTCGACTGCACGACTTACTGTAGACTATATCCCCCCTGAAGATGGAGTTTGGAGAAAGGAAGAGGAGAAGGAAGTCACAGAGCTTTAAACTGGTCACGGATGAAGGTAGGCTGCTGAATGAATGCAAGACCTTGCAAGACGCGCGTCTGTGTCTGGGTGTTTGTCTGGCGCTGTGTGCCAGCAGAGACGACTCTGTAAACAAAAGCGATGGCCACGACAATGCCCATAGTCTGTGCTTTGGTTCAACCAACAGCTATTTCTAATGATTCGAGTCTTGCATGTAAAAATCTCCCGGGACATCAGTTTTCAAGATTGATTCAAGAATGAATTAAGTAAATGAATAGTCCCATTATAAAAACATGGTGCGCATTCTCAACATACAACATGCAGCTTAAATTGTTCACTTTTTGCTGAAGCTATACGCTCTAGGCCACCTCTCTTGACTACACTACTTCATACTACCTACAGGTGGTGGTTTTTGCATGGGATGGGAGGGGGGCTGGAGGGGGGTCTGCTTAGGTTGACATCACAGTCCTTATCAGCGTGCATAATCATCATGTTACACGCATAAGATTGCAACTATCTGTCACACAGGCTGTTGTTGGGAAATTAAAATTTAATTTCAGCTACTGTAACTGTTTCATAACGAAACCTTGCTGTTCTTGCAGATTCTGACCCTTCATATATGATAAATTCCAGCTGTAAAGATGCCAACGGAGAGCCTAAGGATGCTGCTGTGCCTGATGGTACGTGCTAGTGTGAGGATACATTTCTATGATATATTATGGCAGATCTCACTAATTATACTGACACCCTTCTCTCCCGCTGTAGTTTGGGTGGGGGATGAGGGCATGGAGATCAAGAGGCAAATCACAGGAATGATGAGGCTTCTGAGTGAGAAGACCGGCAGGGTATATCAGCGTGTGGGAACAGAGCAGGACAGCTTAACAAAGGAGCCCCAGGATAGGCATCTGACCTGGGTACATCAGCCTGCACCTTTATCTCTTGTATCAGAGGACCACCAGAGCAACAGCTGGAACTCTGCAGGGGACCCAGGACCTTCACCTTCATCCATATCCACCCCCATCCCCAACGGTCCAGGCTGTGGCCAGTACAGCACCCGCTCCAAAGCCATGAGGATCCTCAACAATACCAAGGATCTGATCAAAGTGAATGATGATAACGGTAGAGTACCAAAGTGGAGAAATGCAACAGACACAACTTTAATTTCCTAAAGAAGAATGATGATGATAGAATGAGAGAAGACAAGCATTTTGTTGTCAAGGGAGAAACACTATACATACGTATTTGTGTGTAAGAAAGACACTAGGCATTGGCAAGTTTATCCATACAAGACAGTCAAACACTCATGCACATGTATAACCAATTGGTTGTCAGAAACATGGCAATAAAGGACATTGCACCCATGTGAGTATGCCTGTTTGAGTAGATAATCACTAACCAACGCACCTTTCCAGCAGATGTAGTCCCTCCTGATGTGCCAGAACCCCCCTGCTGTATGTGTAACTGTAAGGGCACCTTGCAGGCTATTTTGCAGGAAATGCGCGCCATGAGGAGGCTGATGCAGACTCAAAAAGGTCAGTGGATGAACACAAACACAGTCACAGTATGAGAAAGTGAGAAAGAGAGAGAGAGGGGAAATATAATGTGTTACTGTCTTTTTCTAGCATCCTTAGAAAGACAGGAACAGGCAGTATCACCATGCCAACCTCGTCTTGGTCCAGGCCCCGCTCCTCGCTGTAGGCCCCGCAAGAGGAGGCCAATCTATAAAATGACACCACTCACTGTGTCTAGTAATAGAAGAGCTGCTCTTGCCCCTCTGGAGGCATCACCACTTACAGCTGCACCTGCAGAATCTGAAAAGAGGAAAGAATGTGAGAAAGAGCAAGACTCGTCTACACCAAACACTCATCCCGTATCCTCTGGGGTTTCTGTGCTGCCACCTCAGAACAATCCAGTAACTGCCAACAACACACACAATCCACTCCTGAACCAACTAAGAGAACCCCACTTGCTAGAGGTAATGTACACACTGGTGTGTGTTTTCTGTGCTTAATTTATAGCTCTGGCTACAAGTTGTAGCTTCTCTGTATATTTATTGATGAATTAATTTTTAAATATGTGTATTTACTGTCTTCATTGAAAATAAACTCTATAACGTCCATCAGAAAAATCATAGAACTTGCAAGTGCAAGTTGAAATAACCCATAAATAATAATAGTTTTGCACAATCATCCTCATGCTTTACTTTATAATGTCTACAACATCATGAGATAAGGCTAAACTCATAACGATAACTTATGTAGAAGAGTTTCTGTTCTTTTTCCTTTTTCCTTCTAAAAACTAAAATATTGTTATATTTTAATGCACCGTTTCCCCGTAAAACTTAACAATCACACTGTGCTTTTGACTATTTTTCAGTCTGATGTGCGTCTTGCAGAGGATTATGACGTGTTTATCTCGAAGGCTCAGCTAGACTCCATTCTGGTCAACTATACACGCTCTGGCAGCCTGCTGTTCAGGAAACTGGTGCGCATATATATGTTTTTCAAGAGCTGGTTCACATGTTAAACATGTAATAATTTACCTTAATAGTAAGCTACATTCACTAAGGGCTCAGCTTTAACACAAAGCTGCTATATGTTTAGGTGTGTGCCTTCTTTGACGATGCTACCCTGGCTAACTCCTTACCAAATGGAAAAAGGAAGAGGGGGCTGAATGATAACCGTAAGGGCTTGGACCAAAACATCGTGGGTGCCATTAAAGGTACGCGAGGGAAAGTTTTAACCGGTCTCTTTGTGCCAGGGTAGAACAATAGGACACACAGGCAAACATTAATATATATATAATGTTTGAACTGTGTCCAGTGTTTACAGAGAAATACTGCACTGAACACAGAATAGAGAAGTTGCCCGGACCACGAGATTGGGTTCAGATCCTTCAAGATCAGATCAAACTTGCCAGGAGGAGGCTGAAAAGAGGTACTGATATAGACCAAGTTATTACCCCATTTTCCTTATCTTATTGAAGTTGTTTATACTACTGTACTACTACTGTATACTTATATTTGATCTAATATCAGACGCAATACGCAAATGGTTTGTATCAATGGTCAAAGGACATAAATGTATTATGCAGTAGTAAGTTTACTAGTATAAGTCAATTACAAAGTTAAGACCTTCTGATATAAACCTTCTTCCTTTGGCTCCTCAGATGCTGCAGAAGCAGAAGAAGTCTTAAATGGACCTTCCACAAGTATGATCCTCATATATTTAAACCTTCATACATTTTGGCAGCTAACACACACACACATTATCATTTATTCAGATGTCTAATTTTTATCTTTATGTGTCTGTACCTTTCCCTTTATATCAGTACATCTTTCCATCAGCCCCCCTCTGAGCCAACAGTGTCTTTACCTCTCACCACTTCACTGTCACAACACACACACACACAAACTGGTGTTGCTGGCTCGCTCATTGGCTCATATGTCTTTGTCATGCTGTCGCTGTGACATTTGACATTCACACGCAGCTTCCCAAAATGTCAGCTAATTATCTTCACACCATGCGCCATACCCCCTTTCACCTCTCTATTTCATTCTCAGTGTCTCAATAGCATTTCTCTTCTCTTTCTGCTGTATCAGTTTGTGTTGTTCAAGGTAGGCTATGAGACCCATAAAAACCCACCAAATGTGTGAATGCAGTTGTCTTTTTTGCTTTTTTAATTAATGATATTTTAAATTTTAACATTGCTTTCTTCATTTGTTTTCAGGTTGTGACTATAACAAACCTGCAAGTGTGAAAGGAACAGGGGTTAATATGACTGGCTGATTCGAGGGCTGCCACAATGGCCTTACTACATATTTGTTGATTGTCTTCATTACTCCTCTAACTTGATGCATTTTGCCACTTTAGTTATGGGTGTAAAGGCAAAAAAAACAATAGGACCAAATGAAGGAGAAGCTTAGTCACTCTCTCTCACACACACACAACACAGACACACATACACTCCACCTTTTGTGGTGCTTAAGACTTTTCACTGGACACATACTGGGATCTGGGATTTTGTGCCAATAGATAATACTATACACTTTAAAAAAAATGTCATTTCCATGTTTAGGGGTGACTTACTGTTTATATGACAGGCTACAATTTTACTTACCTAGTTCTCATATATCATTACTAGGAGACATCTAAAATGAGACAAAGTAATGTAATGGTATAACATTCATATATTTTTCACAAATTACTTTTTACGAGAAGTTGTCCATCGTGGATTGTGCCTTTTAAGTGACCAATACTTCAGTGGGTGTAATGTGCAGCGCAGCATCCACCTCAATTAAAAAACATTACATCCAAAAATAAATGTATTTTTGGCCAATTTTGCTTATTAAGAAATAGGTTGTTAGGCTACATCTGGCTGAAAATATAAAAAATATACAGTATTCTATGAATAGTTGTTTCCTTTAATTATTAGAATCTCTGGGCTATGCATATCAGTGCTATTGTTGTTAATATTGTGATGGAATTACAGGCATTTTCCTTTAATTTTGGCTCACTGTGCATATGAAATGAATAGTTGTCTCCACCATTAAATAAGGTTTCTTGACTCTTTTTGTTTTTGTGTTGTTCTTTATACGCTAGTTCGTTAAAATGAAGGAGAAAATAAAAGAGACGAGCTTCTTATCTCTTGATGAGTTCTTCCTGGCATAAATATTATTAAACATGCTATTGCTCTAATGTAACAAAACATGTATTGCAACATTAAACATAATTCTATCAAAACAAAAGTCCACAAATGTAACTTTATAAAGCCCAGCCTTTGTTAAGCAGCTCCTCTTGCAGCCAGCCCATGTTATGTTGTTGTAGGTGCAATTGGAGGGAAAACAGTAAATTAAAGGTACACTCCATTGTAGAGTATTTGTTGCCAGACTTCACAGCTCATTAAAGGGGATGTTAAAGCCGCCACTGTGCAGGCAGAGGACCCTTTGAGATCTCGTGAGTTCCCTCTTTGTATTGCACACCATATATTGACTCACAAAGACGAAGCGTGGTTGGATACACATGCACATTAAAATATGTTTAATTATACCGGGTAGCGCTATTTCTTTGCCCCCAAATTCCGACTTACAAGACAAACGCATCTCACTTCTCGTCAGGCTTTCTCGGAGGACGCCCGATTCTGGCCCCAATGCATTGTGGTGCCGTCCCCGCTCTTCTGTCGGGATCCACCGCTAACGTGAAGCTGGTAAGGATAAACTGGTCAGAGCAATTAAAGGGGAAATGTTGCAAGAATATAACTCCGCTTTGGTCCTAAAATCGCATCTAGGGCAATTGTAAACACCTCTATTGCACCATATCATTATAAACTTCACACAGGTGGCATGCTCGGCGCTCTTCTGTTGATACGAACTCTGATGTTGCACACATCGCATGGCGAGGGACAGGAAAGGGTTAATTTTTTCCGCCGCCGACATTTTTGTTCGGCGCTCTACGGCAACTTTTCAACTTACATGTGCAACGGGCTGGCGCTATGTCGAGCAAAATGTGTGTCCCCCGTGGGCTGCAGCCTGCACGGTGTGTGTGTGTTTACATGCGTTAGAAGCTCTCCAACTCGGCCACAACCTGCGCTCTTTGTTGCACGGAGCTGCTTATGCCTCATCAACCCCATTGCACGGAGCAGCGTTCGCCAGCAAGAGCTCGCAGTGAAAACGAAAACTGCATTTACAGGGACGTAAACGTGACTGTGAAACGATGTAGCTGTCACTATGTCTCAAAAGTTTGAGTTTGAGCTTTTATTTATATGATATGTGGCTTACAGTACACCAGAATAGACAGTTTACCTCTGCTCGGTGCTAATATTGTTAGCCAGTGCCCAAGGGTTGAATGAACTTTGCAGCATTTTGTCTCTTGAACACTCCCGCAGAGTACTAACAGAGGCCCGTTCAGCAACTTGCAGGTAGTTTAAACAACAAACCAAAAGGTTATAAGCAACCAATAACTGGACTCAATTCTGTAACAGGTGGCCAAGGTGTTTACAATGTCCCATGTTATCGTGGCTCATTCATTTGTTATTGTAAGAATCGATGAGCACAGATAAGTTATTAGTGTACATTTCAGACTCTAGCAACCCATATTAACATGTATTCCTTTTTACTAAACTGACAGCATTTAATAAATCTTGTGCATAAAAATTAAAATACACCTGGATTGATTGCTTTGTTCTTAATTTATAAATATATCTGGGTAATCTAATGCAGTCCAATACCTGTCTAATGAATTCATTTGCAACTATTTCATTAATTGATTAGTTGTTTGAATAAATTCTTGTTTCCAGCTTCTCAGTTGTGATGATTTGCTGCTTTCCTCCGTTTTATATAATTGTAAACTGAATAATAAACAGAATATATTTTAGCTTTTTGATTACTGATGAGAGGAAGACATGAAACACTTAGCAAGCATTAGCAAAAGCGTTTTTCTAATTTTCTCTATTTATTTATAGACTACTGAATTTAGCTCTCACACAGTCTTAAAAAAACGTAATATAAGCTGCACAAAGACATTTTAAAGGTGTTCAATCTCATTTGTACTTGCAGTGATGCACATTAAGGAGCGCATTTATTTGTGAATAATCTGAGACTGCATTGGAGTCTGGTGAATGAACTAAGGTGTTTTAAGTTTATACCATTAACACGATTTTCCTTTTGCCCCTTGTGATACCCAAACAGTGTTTCTAATCACCAGCTTCATTCTTTCTGGTCACTCATGTGGTTCTAGTGGTGAAGGCCCAGACTTTCTTCAGACATGTCCGTGAGGGAGTCCTTTAACCCCGAAAGCTATGAGCTGGACAAGAACTTCAGACTCACACGCTTTGCTGAGCTCAAGGGCACAGGCTGCAAGGTGGGCTCTCCTTATCACAATCTCCCTCGGATGCATCATTGTCTTTGTATAGCTATACACGTTAAATAAGTGTTCCGCCAGAAAAGAAATAATATGCGAAAATGGTGGTTGTTGTCTTGGGTCACAGGTGCCTCAAGATGTGTTACAGAAGCTGCTAGAAACCCTACAGGAGAACCACTATCAAGAGGATGAACAGTTCTTGGGGGCAGTTATGCCCCGATTAGGTAATGATGATCTTCACGTAGCACTATAATAACAAATAAGTATACAGTAATAAGACTAAGTCAATAGCTCTAACCACAACTCTTTTTTAGTTGGTAGATTTTTTGTCTATGGTACCATATTACAAATATTCAGCTTCAAAATATCACTTACAGAGCTCTTTCATTTTTAAAGGCATAGGCATGGACACCTGTGTGATCCCCCTCAGACATGGAGGCCTTTCTCTGGTCCAGACGACAGACTACATTTACCCTATTGTAGATGACCCCTACATGATGGTATGGATCTCCCCCTTCCTTCCTTTTTGCCCTAGTGTGTTCCTATTAATTATACATTGTGACAAATAGAAGGGTGTCACTCTTATAATTCTTTGTTCGGCTGTATTATTGCTTTACACACCAACCAATTACGTGCTTAATTTTCAGTATTTGTATTTTATAGGGAAGAATTGCTTGTGCCAATGTTCTAAGTGACCTGTATGCAATGGGAGTGACAGAGTGTGACAACATGTTGATGCTTCTGGGAGTCAGCAACAAAATGTCAGAGAAGGTAAGAGGCATGTCTGCTGATGGATCTTTGTGTCTGGAAAATAACTGCGCAGCACCAATTGTGTTAATGGTAGAAAAAACAGAATACCACTCATTGAGAATCACAATTAAAAAACATGTTACTAAACAGTTATGGAAATGAATAATGTTAAGAAAGATGATGATTTTTTATTATTATCATTATTTTTATTACTGTTATTAATACGTTGTGCTCCCTGTCCCTGCTTTGAATTTCCTGGGTCTTTACAGGAGAGAGACAAAGTCATGCCACTGATCATCCAGGGATTCAAGGATGCATCAGAGGAAGCAGGCACATCTGTAACAGGAGGACAGACGGTGCTCAACCCCTGGGTGGTGATGGGAGGAGTTGCAACAACAGTCTGCCAGCCCAACGAATTTATCATGTGGGAATGACTTGCTACTACATATTTCGTTACTTGTGCTGTTTGTGCTACACACACCATCCTCAAAAATTTATCGTTTGGCTGTAATTGTACACTGTAAAATTGCAATGATGCCATGTTTGACATTTCCCAGGCCAGATAATGCAGTGCCAGGAGACGTGTTGGTGTTGACCAAGCCACTTGGAACACAAGTGGCCGTCGCAGTACACCAGTGGCTAGATATTGTAAGTCTGCCTACTCACTCATGAATAATTTTGTGTGGACTTGTTTCTGATACACACTAATGCTATCAACGGTATATGTTTGTTTTATCTCCCAGCCTGAGAAGTGGAACAAGATAAAGCTGGTGGTAACCCAGGAAGATGTAGAGCTGGCCTACCATGAAGCCATGATGAACATGGCTCGACTCAACAGAACAGGTAAAATCACTGTGAATCATAACTGCCTTACACCTGTTTAAAAAATATTATTATAAATTATTATTATTGTCATTATTTTTCTAACAAATAAGCATGTTAACTTGAGCATGACTACATAAGCTGTTGGGCAGAGAAACATTGAGGATGGGAGACATTTTTTAAACTACAGCACCCTCTGCAGCAGCAAGACTGTATTGTACCATCTATGGCAAGCTTCTACTAATAATGTGACATTTAAATACTAAAAGATAATGTTCCATGTGAGACATAAGTTACATACTATAGGTTTATACAACACAATAAATTGTCATCACAAATAACTGGGACACATACACAGAAATACGTGTTGTGTGTGACTCCCTGTGTCCGCATGTGATTGAACTGTTTTAGTTGCCTTTTCTTGTATGAGATTGTTCTGTTGATTCCGCTATGAAGAAATTCATGCTTGAATTACAATATCTGTCATTATAGTATTTATTTATTGGCTTTCAAGATGTCACACAATGTTTGGGTCACATTGACTTACTGTGTGAATCAATATTTGTTCATACCACTGACTAATCTTCATGACAACAGAATTGTGTGCATCTGTAATGAACCAATTAATCATTCAGATACCCTTCTACTTCTGTTT